ACGAAACTCCTCTCAGCTAGCACGTCTTTTCAAAGTGAAAGTAGCCTTGTCACCTGACCTGAATACAGTGCGTACATTCTACATTCGCTAAAATGGACTTATCGGCTTCTGTTCAAAAACAACAAGGGTGCTTGTTGGCTTCTGCAGTAAAACGTGAACTCGTGATGCCTTGAAAGTGGACAAAACCGGCTCTTTTGAAAAAACGTGTTTAGGGTTCAGATCGCGCTATATGTGGAGAATAACGCACGGCTCTCAGTTCTTTTTTTTTTTTTAAAGTGGCGTTTATCAGTTTTTGCAAATAAACTCTTCAAATGCACCTTCAGAAATAATTTCAAACAGCCACTACACGCACATGGGGTCTGTCCCAAAACTTTGCATTTGAACACTTTGTTCAAATTTTTGTTGGGTCTGTTTACATGACATACTTGATCTAACACCATGTCCCAACTACATGCTGCGAAACGGTTTCTATTTCCGCGACGTCGCGGCTGGAACAACAACATACAAACTAATACGTGACCCTGGAGCACAAAAGCAGTCATAAGTAGCACAGGTATATTTGTAGAAATAGTCAGCAATACACTGTCCAGGGTCACATATGACAGTAGATAATCTCAGGTACTTATTATGTGCTTTATTCAATGCTAAAAGTGTCTAATGTGAATTTAAATATTATTTTGTGTGACCTTATAGCCATACTGAAAGCAACAACAGATAGTTTACCTCTGATCTTGAAAATAAATTCAAGCAAACATGTACGTTAAAACTGAAAACAGTGTGGACGGGGATCGTTTCTGAAACGCAGTGAAAGCGCCAGTGTAGACGTGGATCGTTTTCATTTTAAAATGGCGTTAGTGTAAATGTAAGTGTTTAAGAGGACATGAAGAGCGCAAGTTTGTGTAGAGCATTTGATTATAACTGATTGGACACAATACAGACGGATTCAAAGTAGCTTCACAGTAATTAACAGGACAATAGGAGTTAATGTTGCAAAATTCATGAATTATGAAACAACTCAATTTCAGCAGTTAAACAGTTCTAAAGAAGACAATAGCATCATTATTCAGAGCCATTCATATTGATGTTTCTTATCAGCTGATATTGTCTGCCATCAACTCAATAGAACTGAATGCGATAGAACTTAAAAATGTATTTTACATTTTCAATACACTGAACCTTAAAATAAACTTTTAAATGTCTGGAGGTTTATTTCAGCTACAGAAAAAAAATATCAATTTTAATTCCATGGCGGAAACCAGCTTTCAAAGTAGTTCCTGTGTAATAAACGTCAGTCTAATTGTGGTGCTTCTATTCAATTCAAGTTTATTTGTATAGCGCTTTTCACAATACAAATCGTTGCAAAGCAGCTTTACAGTAAATTAAGTTTCTACCATATATTTAGGAGCAGCTTGTCAGTGCGGACTATGTCCAATTAATGTACATATGGCAGAAATGTACGGTAAAATTCAGTTAATGACGTAATCAAACAGGACAAACCTAGGACAGATCCTTGTGGCACTCCATATTTTACTGGTGATAATTAAGATGACTCCCCGTTTAAATAAACAAAGTGGTAGCGATCGGACAGGTATGATCTAAACCATCTTAAAGCTTGCCCTTGTATACCCGTATAGTTTTGTAATCGATCAATGAGTATGTCATGATCTATAGTGCTTCTAATTAGCTGTTACAAGCAGTTGCATAAATTTTACAAAATACACACTTCTGCACCAATGCAATGTGCAGCAGTTTTTGCACCCAATTTTACTAGCAATTTTACTACTGAATTATTTAGTTTAACCTTCAGTGAAAAGTTTTCCTCAACGTTGCACAATTTCTGGCACATGTATTTCTGAATATGATGAATGATGAGACAAGCTTAGCTTTAAATATGGAAGCGCTCCGAAGCGCTGTTTTAGATAGTGTGCATTAAGGGCTTTGCTATTAGAACTCAGTGTTATTCAGACCTCAAGTGGCCAGGACCGTATTGGGATGGACCCAGAAATCTCTCCCTGCAGCTGTGATGAGTTCAGTGGTTGTAGGTGTTGTGTGTCACTGGAGTTCACTGTGTGTTGTTTCTGTCACAGATGCCGGCGTGTTACTGTTCGCCCAGCCAGTTCCCGGTGTCTGGACAGCTGTATCAGCCCATGGGTTCAGTACCATACAGCGCTCAGAGTCAGATTCCTCCCGCACCGGCGCAGCAGCCAGGTACATCACTGCACACACACTAGGGCTATCAAAATGGCTGAAAAACTAAATTTGAATTTTGTACTTAAATATCATCAATATTCAAATTATATTCGAATTTAAAAGGCATAATTTCAGTTAGGGGGAAAAAAAGCTTTTGGCTTCTCTCCTGAGACCACAAGAGGGCGCATTGAGCAAAATATTACTAATGCACGTTTATTCAAAGCAATAAAGTAACACGGCTATCTTTGAAAAAAGTGCATAATGTTTAAAATAATGTTTATAAACCATATATAATTAAGTTGCTTAAACAATTAGAAACAAAACCGCATCATGTATGAATGTATAGTTTAATACAAAGGACCGTAAACCAATCACAAAGAGTACTTTTTCTATTTAAAAACTGAGATGCAGTGAGATGGGGGAAAAAATGTCAAAAGTCTCGAGACATGTTTTTTAAAAGTTGAACTTGCATTAATTTTACATGGCTTTCTAAACATGCGGCTCTCTTGTGCGACACGAGAGTGCAAAGGTGATAGATGTCCCTCTAGAAAATGTGATAAATCTGCGTTCTGTGTGAATGGCTTGGTTTCAGTTTTGCCGTAAACAAGATCTTCTCCGCATTGATATTCTCTTTTTCCGCAATATTTTGAATGAACAACGTAGCAGTGCCACATCCAGTGGGTTCAACTGAATGACACCAACATCATCATCGCATCTCGTTTGCCACTGATAAGGCAGCCTGACACCACACACGGGAGCGAAAACCCCACACACGGGAGCGAAAACCCCACACACCTGAGCGAAAACCTCACACACCTGAGCGAAAACAACACACATGGCTTATATTGAAATCCTCCTATATTTTTCTTTACAAATCCTCGTTTTTTGCTTCTAATTTTCTTACAAAAATGCATCGATTCGCTACAGGAGGCATTTATTCACCCCCGGACCCATGTGAGGCACATTTTATTATTACGGATGCGTGCGCTTTATTTGACTACTTTTGGACTGTTGAACAAAAACACCCGCCTACTCCCGTTGTAACGCTTGGAAGAGCAAGGATAATATTTAATATAACTCCGATTGGAGTCATCTGAAAGAAGAAAGTATATACTCCTAGAATGCCTTGAGGGTGAGTAAATCATGGGCTAATTTTCATTTTTATACTCAATAATCCTTTAACTCTTTGGTGTTTTTTTTTTTATTTTATTTTTTATTTAACCTTTATTTAACCAGGCAAGTTAATTAAGAACAAGTTCTTATTTTTAATAACAGCCTGGCAGGAGAATTAATATATCCTGAGAAACATACAAACATATATTACAATACATAAAAGCACATAGAAAAATAAAATAAAATCTCAGTTAAAACATTTACAGGTCGAGGTCAGAGCACTTACTAGTAATTTTTTAAATGCACATAGTGGAATATTTGTTTATAGTTTCAATAGCTTTTGTAGCACATTCCAATCATTTGGGGCAGCAAATTCAATTTGTTTTTGACCAAAAATGTTTTTGTTTTGGTTTTAAATTTTTTTTTTTTACTTCATTGGAATGGTACGAAACTCTGTAACGGTTTTGGCACTTGCTATGTGAATGCAAAAAAAAAAAAAAAAGACATGGACATGATTCGAAAAGGTTAAATAGTCCTAAAAAATAGTCACACTTGTGCTGTTTGCGGTCAAAAATGAGCGCATTGGAAATTAATTTAAAGCGTTTGGTACTGCGGCCAAACTAAATCTGACTGAAACCTCATGTTTTGTGATATCAACCTCAAATTCGGAACATAACTAGTTTAGATTTATGGCTTTGATTTTCTTGCAGTTTTAGAGTAAAACATGCTTTGGAAATTATGTATTTCATATAAAATATTAAAATAGAATTTTTGTGCATTTTTCATAATAATAAACTTGAACTTCTTGTTTCACTTTTTAAACATTTTTCACAGTTTTCAGGAATTATCTACCTCAGATAATTATCAAGTGTCTTCTTTAAAAAGAGACCAAACTAAAGTCTGCGCTCCAAAACATTTAAGATGTATGACAGTTTAAACTGGAAATGTAATTTAATATAATTAAATAGTAAATATAATTTAGTACTATAAAAGCCACTGAAAATACAAAATATTGAATCAAACTAAAATATAGTACATTAATTTAATTGAAGTAAAAAAAAAAAGACATTTCCACAGTTCTTCTGTGTATTTGGCCTTTAGTCTCAGTAGTTTCTGTCCCAGATGAACTCGATGGTGAGATCTGACCTTCTCCTGGTTCAAACCAAAATCTCACTGGATTACTGCAAGATCTGCAGCAGGAGTGTTTGAGAATCTAGATCGGATGTCTCCTCCTGGCTCACTGAAGCAAAAGACCGGATCAAGCATCTTAAAGCAGTTGTTTCTGTCAGGCATCTGAAGCACTGATATCAGCACAACACGTTTGGCCCTTTAATACGCACAATACAGGTTTTGTTTTAGCCGTATTGTTCTCTTGTGCGCGACAGATGCTTGACTGGATTGAATTGGAGAAGCTTTTCACGATGCTGATGGGAGCGTTTGGGCTGTCGGAGCGGCTGGATGCGGGGCCGAGGCACTGTCTGAGACGCCCTATGATTCTCACAGTGAACCGGTCTCTTTTCCAGCCCCTCACTCCTCCTCGAACACTCGTCTCTGCAGGATCACGCTGCGCTCCAGTCCGTCTGACGGTCACACAACATTAAGCCTTCAGTGTGTGCTGTGTGAATAAACGCTGAACACACTTCTCTCTCTTGGGTTGGTTACTATTGCTGTATGTCTTTAGTACTTATTTTAATGTTTTTTTTTAAAGAAGTCTCTTCTGTTCACCAAGGCTGCGTTTATTTTTGATTAAAAAAATACTGTAAAATTGTAATTATTAGAATGTAAAACAGATGTTTTCTATGTGAATCTCTGTTAAACTGTAATGTATTTCTGTGATGCGCAGCTGTATTTTCAGCATCATTCCTACATTCTGTCACATTATCTTCAGAAATCATTCTAATATGCTGATTGCTCAAGAAACATTTCTGATTATTATCAATGTTAGAGACAGTTGTGCTGAACTATATTTTTGTGGAAACCGTGATACTTTTTATTTTTCAGGATCCACAGATGAATAGAAAGTTCAAAAGAACAGCATTTATTTGAAATAGAAATCTTTTGCAACATTATAAATGTCTTTACTGGTACTTTTGATCAATTTAATGCGTCCTTGATGAATAAAAGTATTAATTTTATTTTTTTAATCTTACTGACCCCAAACTTTTAAATGGTAGTTTATTACAGTTTCCAAAAAAAAAAAAAAAATGTTAGAATATTATTGTTTTTACTGCATTTTTGATCAAATAAATATTGGTAAACATAAGAGACTTTTTAAAACATTAAAAAGTCTTAATGCTCCAAATTTCCAAAATCTCAAAACAGCCAAACTGATTAAAAACAGATTTCAGACTGATTCTGATTGAATGCGATGGATTTTAAGCTGATGAGATCTGATTTCTGTTGGGTTTAAAAATACACAGATGTGAATAACCTGTTTCTAGTTGTACATTTCATTTGCATCTTGAAGGAGCATGTTGGAATAATGTCGGAATGCTGTGTGTAGAGATGGAATGATGATGTTTGCCCCAGAAATGAAACCCTTCAGATGCTCCTGACGCGAAAATCCGGTGAAAACATTCCTCCTGTTGTCTACCTGCAAGCTCAGCCGGAGTGTTTAATATAATATTCCCATCATGCTCTGCTCCTCAGTGGAGGTGAGAGAACCGAGCTAAAAATAGCGCGCATTCGCCGTCTCCTAGCCGCGGGCCGTCCGTTTCCTTTGTCCCACTTCTGCTCTCATCTGGGCTAAATTGATTGCGTCCCTTTGGCCAAAAGCCAGCAGCTCCTCCGCGGAGAGGAGGTCACACGCTCCCCGATAACCTTGACACCAATGCAAATTACCCTGCTCATAACGGGCTGCGCGTGTAAATTAATGCCTGTTCGTACGCTGACACGCAGAAGCTTTAAAAGACATGATGTTGCAGTCATTATAAAAGCTATTGTCATTTGGGGAGCACGTGTGTTCGGATAATGAGAGGCAATTTAACGCTGCTGGTTTGCTGAGATCACTAATGATTTAAAGCGTTTCACTAGTAAGGGTATCATTAGCTTGTTCTGACATGAATCTGAATTCATAGATTTGAGATTACAGACACTTGTGATTATAAGTATTTGAATAACTCTCAGAATGCATTCAAAATTTGTGTACTATTTTCACATTCCTGCTCCGTTTGGACCTGAAGAATCATCATTTTATAAAACAGTAATTTTTCTGTCTTTTTTTCAATGTAACCTGTTATTACTGCATTTTCAAATTTTTTATTAAGTAATAAATTGAGAAATTATTTGAAATTCAAATCATACATGAATGAAAAAACTGATGCAAAATATATGTTTTTGTCAATTACTTCATTGAAGTTTATCATTGTATGAAATTCATAAGAACATATAATTTAAGAATTACAGTATTGACACCATAGGAGTGAATGGAATTTAATTAAATTCCTTTGAATTTATAGCTCATAATTACTTAAAACCAGTCCAAATTAATTAATTTTACTTTTTAATTTGACTGAAAATAAGTTTTTCATGCTGCAGTGGTTCGTCAATAAACAAACATATTATATAAGTATTTTTGACACCAATGGTACTCCATACATACCAGGTCCAAAATAACGTTATTTTAAAATGACTACATTTCTTAAAATATAATTGTAAAAAATATGAAAAAATAAATAATTTCACTTTCAGATGAAGAAAATCAGTTTTTCATGCTGCAGTTGTTCGTCAATAAGCAAACGTATTCATATTCATCAACAAAATTCAGTCTCAAAAGTGTGTGAGATGTTGGGAAAAGTGTTTTTTGACTAATGTAAGTTCATGGATAATTCTACAAAAAGTATTTTTGACACTAATGTTACTCCATACATACCGGGTCCTAAATAACCAAACACAAAATGTGTAACATTATTTTAAAATTCTGTTATATTTCTTAAAATATAATTGTAAAAAACAAGAATAAATAAATAAATAAATGACGTGTAAATGAGGGTCTCGAAGCATTCGCAAAGTTTCATTCACTTACTAAAAAAATACATTTTTATGTATCTGCATTTTATTTATAATGCATTATAAGGATAAACCGAGTTTATTGTTGATTGACAGGATGATTTTGTTTTGTCAGTGAACAGTAAATGGTTTATTGGGTTTTACTGTCATATTTCTTCTGTTTGGTTTCACGTGTTGCTGTTGAAGTTCTCGTATTGTCGTGTTTTCAGTCATTTCTGTACGTTTCTTCAGGTTACCAAACTGTGATGCCAAATCAGCAGCAGAACTACCAGAACATGATTAGATGCACGCCGCCGCAGAATCAGATGCAAGGCATGATGGTCCAGTATCCGTCAGAGCCATCTTATCAGGTGAACGCGGCATTCTGGGAGCATGTAATGACTCTGTCAGCAGAGTAGAGATGTATCGGTGTGAAAATTTGCTGGACAGTATTTATTTATCCTCAGCTGTTCAAATCGCGGTAATCGAATACGGTTTTAATGATAATTAAAAGCTGGTAATGGTTCCATCCCTGCAGCAGAGTTAATCACATCATTAGTGATTCTAAAGCTGTGGCGTGATGAGCGTGTGAATGTGTTCTGTGTCAGGTGTCCGTGCCGCAGCAGACGTATCAGCAGCCCGTGTACTACAGCATCTTCCCTCCCCACCAGCAGAGCGCCGGCAGGTACATGCACTCGTTCACTCACAACAAACTGCACCATTTATTTCATCTGCAGAAGCACTAGGATTCATTCAGATCTTCTAGAAACTACAGATTAGGCTGAGTGATTAATTGAAAGAAAAAAAAATTGCAATGTGGCTGGGTTGCAATTCTCAAATTGCTAAGGCAATAATTTAATTATAAATAAGAGATTTGTGACCCTGGAGCACAAAAGCAGTCATAAGTATCACAGGTATATTTGTAGCAATAGCCAACAATACATTGTATGGGTCAAAATTATACATTTTTCTTTTATGCCAAAAATCATTAGGATATTAAGTAAAGATCATGTTCCATGAAGATATTTAGTAAATTTCCTACCGTAAATATATCAAAACTTAATGTTTGATTAGTAATATGCATTGCTAAGAACTTCATTTGGACAACTTTAAAGATGATTTTCTCAATATTTAGATTTTTTTGCACCCTCAGATTCCAGATTTTCAAATAGTTGTATCTCAGCCAAATATTGTCCTGTCCTAACAAACCATACATCAATGGAAAGATTATTTATTCAGCTTTCAGATTTCAAAGAATTGACCCTTATGACTGGTTTTGTGCTCCAGGGTCACGTATGTGCTTGTGTTTCAGAGTGAAGCGTGTCGCTGTGTTCATTTACACAAGAGCAGCTCGTGTTTTCAGCATCTCACAGCGACTCGGTTCACAGTAAATAATCCACATGAACTCCATCTCTGAGTTTGGGTCGCTTTAATATGCATTTAGGAACAAAACAAGAGCCAACTTTCAAAACTCTTAACTCTTTTCTTATTTTACAGTGAAGTATTACAATAGAAATGTATATTTGTTTTTAGTAATTTTTTAGTAGTAGTAGTCATGCTACTACTACTACTACTAATAATTATTATTATTATTATTATTGTTTTGGAGCCATACTGATTTTTATTAGAATAATTGCAATTAGATGTTTTCCTCAAATTGTGCAGCCCTACTACAGATGCTGTTTTATTATATTTTATCTATTTTTTTTTAAAGATCTTTTACTCATTTTTGTAGCATTGCACTAGCAACGCCAAGGTCACTGGTTCGATTCCTATGGAATGCATGAACTGATCAGATTTGCACTTTAAATGCAATGCAAGTCACTTTGGAATAAAGCATCTGTCATATGCATAAATGCCAATCTCAAAAGGAGCCGAGAGCGTCACAGTGACATTCAGGGCTGGGGAGTAAAAAATAAAACATTTATGCACACCGATTTCCAAAACAGATTTGGAGTGTCATAATTACAATAAAAGCACACATTATTGTGACGATCCGCTGGCGTAAAACAGAAAATGCACGGAATAATGAATGTGAAGCTCACTGAGTGTATGGAGTTCTCTATTGTAAAAAACAGCTGAATTCATAACGATTTTCCATGTGTCTGCTGATGAATGTTCATATATATTTTTTAGAATAATAAATTCAGACTGATGTCATCTTCTGCTGAATAAACTCAAAATGAGACCATCTCATTGGTGTGTAAAAGGGCTCTATCTGCACAGGTTAGTAAGCGGTCGTCTCTCGGGACTGGACTTTAGTAGGCCACGCTCGAGATGATTTATAATGCAGCCGGTCTTAATATAACGCGGCGGGTCCCGAGAGGAGAGCGATCTCACGGCAGCACATCCTTCATGAAGCGGCTCCTCGCAGCTGCGTCACACGGCTCATGTCCTTATTAAAGCTATTTCAACATTTTGAACAATAGGGCCCTACAATCTTTTTCTTTCTCCCCCCTAATTTTTCTGATAGTGGAATTAAGGCATTGAGCATTTATTTATTTTTAATAAAATTAAAATTAAACCCTTTTATTTTTGGCAAACTAGCAGAAGTTTACTGTCAAAATTAATACATGGAAGAAAAATTGCGTGAATATTCCTTTAAAATTTTTTTAATAATGTATACATTTTTTCTCAAATAAAGTGGTTAATCTGGTTGTAATATTTATTTTAATAATTTAATAGTTTTATTTAAATTTGACAGAAAATGGAATATATAAAGACGTACGGTATACAGTACAAAAGTAATACAAGAGTAATATATTTGTTACATGTGTATATATATGCTAGTTTTCTCAAATGAAGCTGTAAAATTCTCATGAGGCGACTCTCACAGCAGCTCTGGAGAGCGAAACATGCTTATTTAAACCGTCTTTTTGCATTTTAATATTCACAGAAACTAGTCCATATCACGATTCGAATTAAGTGACAGACCTACTTTTGATTTATTCATCCAAAAATTGAATGGACTCCGTGATTCCATCCACGTTTTCGCAGAAACCATATGACCCTAGAAATGTAACTTTAATGCGAAGGTAGTGCCGACGCAATTCAGTCAGTACCCTTAAAGGGACAGTTCACCCAAAAATGAAAATTCTGTCATTAATTACTCAGCCTCATGTCGTTCCAAACCCGTAAGACCTTCGTTCTTCTTCAGAACACAAATGACGATATTTTTGATGAAATCCGAGAGCTCATAGAAATACCTATAGAAAACCAAACTGGACGCAAGAACAGCAACTGGTTAATGAATGGTGAGTGATTAATGACAGAATTTTCATTTTTGGGTGAACTGTGCCTTTAAGGCTACTGAATTCAGTGCCCAACCCTAGTGTGAGCTGAGTGTAGGTGGCATGCTCATGTGTTTGCATGTGCTGGTCTCCTCAGCTCCTCCGTGGGGTTCCTGCCTCCTCCACGAGCGGAGCAGATGCCGCTCCACTGCACCACGGCACCCTGCGGCTCGCAACAGATTCCCACCCAGCAGTGCTCAGGTACAAACCCATACGCATCTTCCTCTGCTCCTCTGCACTGCTTTCAAACTGTGATGTGATCCGTATCGCAATACTAGCAGCAGATTTCATTCTAGTAAATCAAACTGATACTGCATCAGCTGCTTTATTTTCTTCATGATCAGAAATGAGGCAAAGTCCTTACTGTTTTTTTTGTTTTTTTTCTAAAAAAGTAAATTCACTTAATGACACATTTTTCAAGTTCAGTTAATTAAACATTAATTACACTGATTCTGATTTTACATTAACAATATAATTAATCTTCTATTTATTAAAGCAAAGTATATTCCTCAAGTTTCAAGTATTCTAAAATAACTATAAGAACGCAGTAACAAATTGGTGACACTTTATTTTAAGGGGTTCTTGTTACAGTGTAATTATACATTTAAGTACTGAGTAATATTAGTTAACTACATGTGCTTACTATATGGTTAGAGTTTGGCTTAGGGTTACTTGCATGTAATTATACATAATTAGTAGTAATTATAATAGTAAGTACAATTATAACAAGTTACCACAAATCATATTTCATGTATATTTTATTTGTGAACTTATAATCAAGTCGTCACCTTTATTTTTATAGTGCTTTATACAATACAGATTATTTTAAAGCAGCTTCACAGTGATAATAACAATAACTATATAATTCATCAGTTATGAATTCAATTTCAGCTGTAAAGCAGCTCTACAAAAGTACAATTATTCGGATCAGTTCAGTCTTATTTTAGTATCATTTGAGATACTATTATAGGTTTTATATTTAATTAATATTTTGAACATTTTTTTTATTTTTATATTTTAGTTTTAATCAGTGTTTTAGTCATTTTGGTTTTTATGTCTATAGTTTTGATTATTTTTTATTTCAGTGTTTGTTTTAGTACATCGTTAAAATTAAAATTAGAAATGGTGCCATGGCAACTAGCTAAAATTCTTTTTTTTTTTTTTTTTACTTAACTAAAATAACGCTGCTTTGACTGTGGCTTCATAATTTTCCTAATGTTCATTGTTATGGTTCTCACAAAGTGAAGGTGTCAGAATAAAAGACCTGGGCCTGTATTCACAAAACATTTTATCTTACCTCTAAGAGTTCTCCTAAATAGCAGTAAAGGTTTTTAGCTAAGAGTTTTCTCTTAAAACCTTTTCACAAAGCTGCTGAGACAAACTTGTACTGAGGAACAGAGAGAAGTCTTAAGCTCAGAGTAAGGGGGCGGGGCTGAGCTCGTTGCTATGGGTGATGTCATCAAGCTTATTAACTATGCACACAGTGATTGGCTGATAGTCTCTGTCAGAGATTTATTCATAGAAATACTGTAGAGCGCGATATTATGTTGCCATATTCAAATAAAGGTTTAAAAATAAAAATGTTATTTGCGACATTCAAATAAAGGTTTAAAAATGCAGGCTAAGTGTCACTAATTAAACAAGTATATGTTCAGCTAATTGTCAGTCTCTTACATGTGTGCTTCTCGTGAACAATTAGTGGATATGCATGTAAACAGCCTTTTAATTAAGAGAGTAGAATAATCATAGCTGATAGTAATTCATGCAAACGTAAACTGGACGCAAGAACAGCAACTGGTTAATGAAGACAAGCATATAATCAAAGGACAATCTGGAGTTGGGATAGCCTCCAAAACCAAAAAAAGATGCATGGGAGAACATCTGTGTGCAAATAAATGCAGCGTGTTACTAAAATGTTTCTGTTCCGAGGCAGATTGCTGGAAACAGCTGTTTCAGGATAGTTTGTGGCTTGGTCTCAGTGACTTAGGACTCCTCTTCACTGCTCCTAACCTTTCACTGATTTAGGAGCTAGTTTTAGCGCTGAAACGCTTTGTGAAATACTCTTAGAGCTAAAATGTAGGAGTCCTGAATTTAGGACTGACACGCCCGATATTTTTAAGATTTTCTCCTAAATCGGCGAGTTATGAGCTACTTTTAGCCTGAAGATGTTTTGTGAATATGGGCCCTGAACAGTAACGGCTCAGTTTGTTTTGTTATGATTCTGATGTTGGAGGCATTGTGTAATTGTGTGTCTCTCTCTCTCTGTGTGTGTGTGTGTGTGTATATATCTGTGTATCTGTGTGCACGTGTGTGTGCGCGTGCGTGCGTGCGTGTGTGTGTGTAGGAGCTCCGCCCCCAGCAGCAGGTGGAATGGTGATGATGCACCTGACGTTACCTGTGTCCCAGCAGCCTCAGTCTCATTCACCGCCGCAGTGGAAACACAACAAATACTACAGCTCCGATCACACACACTCACAGAAGCCCAGCGACGTCTGCGGTCTGGAACCGTCACGAGTAAGAACGCACCACATTACGCTCAAAAATACAGTATTTCCTTTTTCTAATTCAGTGTGAAACGCTGAAAGCATTTGTTTTTGTGGCGACACACAGCAAAATGTGCAGATCTGACAAACACAAAATCACTAATGCACCTCAATATGCTCTTATGTTATGTCAAAAGAATAGTTGACCCAAAAATGGAAATGTGCTGTAAATGTGCTCACCCTCAGTTCATCCGAGATCAGGTTTGGAGAAATGTAGCACTGCATCAGTGTCTCAGCAATGGATGCTCTGCAGTGAATGGGTGCCGTCAGAATGAGAGTCCAAACAGCTGATAAAAACATCACAATAATCCACAATGCCGTCACCCATTCACTGCAGAGCATCCATTGCTGAGACACTGATGCAGTGCTACATTTCTACAAACCTCCTGATCTTGGATGACCTGATGGTAAGCAGATTTTCCGCAGCATCATCTGGATGTGTAACGGTTTGTTCACAGAGCAGTCCTCAGCTGGGAAGCTCGTCATCAACACACCTCACTAACGTAAAGAGCATCCGTCCGAGCCTCAACACTGTTCCCATCATGCCTCACTTCTCCAGATCCATGGTTTCAGGACAGGGTGAGTCCTCTGGTCCTGTCTGGTGTGTAATAAAGTGTTGAGGATGTTTTGAGGATCATCAGGTGTGTTGTTGTGTCAGGTGACATGCGCTTCCAGTATAGCCCTCAGATCCGCCCACCGTTACTTCAAGCCCCGCCCACGCTGTCCAGTCAGGTCAGCCCACCAATCACAATCCAGATCTCATTAACATGCTACTTCAGAAGCTTAGAATGCCATTTTTGGCCACTTTAACTTGCCAGAGTTTGAATAAATTATCAATATAATATATAATTGTGACCTGTGCTGCCAAAATGTCACAATGAGCACATTTTCAAAAATGAGTTATTTTTACATTCTCTGTTCAAAATTATGCATGATTTGTTGGAATCAGATGAAAAATTATCTGTTTGAAGTGGATGGAGTCAGCAAAGTCAGTTTAGAGAAAAACTGATGTAACGTTTCCTGAAGGTTCCAAAGAAAAATCACCAGCAACATTAAATCTTTCCCTCCACTTCTTTTCTTAATAATAATTACTAGATTAATAATCACAGTATAGCTATTATTTATTTTATCTTTGTTGTTATAAGAACCGATGCAAAAAATAAACAAATATAAAGAAACAATTTTTTTTTTCTTTTTACATCTAAACATAAGTATTCAAGTAAGAAAAACAAATAGTAAAATGTAAAAATCACTTTAGTGTGTTCATTACAAATAAATAGATTATTAAAACTACAAAAGCGGTTCAATCAAGCAGCGAGTAATTCCCTCTTTCTTTTATCGTTAGATTAATATTAATGAGACAGACGGTCTGTATTAAGATAGTGTAATGCGCGGATCTAATATAATGTTACACATCCGATGCTTCACTCGAGATATAGCAGATTATGTTTGTGTGAATACTTCAATATATTTAGCCTGCTGTAAATCTGTGTATATGTGGGATAGAGCGCAAGATACTCCTCTCAGAACACCTACAAATAAAGATACTTTTAGATGTTTAATTACTATTTGGAGCACTGGGGTCACTAGACGAGAGCTTAATGAACTCATGTTTGAGAAAACCTCAAATTCAATTCATTTTTCTATTTTTCACCCGTGCACATTCACACTCATTCTGCCAGCACGGCTCACAAATAAATACAATGTAAATCTGCATGAATATAAAGTGTGTTCGTCCTCTGTCTAGACTCCGGCGGGGATCCGGACGCTGCCGAGGAAAGCGCTGTCTACAGATCTCAGTGTAGGTGACGCAGGTAACCCTAACTCTGTTCCTCCAGACCCTGCAGAGCTTCGCTCGTCACGCTCCTCAGGATCTGCTGAACTCGTGAAGCTTGGAGCCAAACTCTGCAGGAAAGTGGACCAGAGTTGCCCAGTGCTGCTGTAGAAACACACACCTGATGATGATGATCCTGCCTCTTCCTCCTCCTCAGGGTTCAGCTTGGGAACTAGGAGTTCAGTGTTTCTTAAAAGTAGTCAAATTGTTAGAAATGTGTGTTTCATCTGTACATAGCAAACGGAGTGTTTTAAAGCTGGCCTTGTGTTTGTTAAATATCTCGTTATTATTATTGGCTGGATAACTTTAGTTGCTTTAAGTCATAATCATAATTCACTGGAGAAGTGTGAAATTCACTTTACTGATGGTGGACTAATATACAGTGGGTACGGAAAGTATTCAGACCCCCTTCAATGGATCATGTTCCATGAAGATATTTAGTACATTTCCTACCGTAAATATATCAAAACTTAATTTTTGATTAGTAATATGCATGGCTAAGAACTTCATTTGGACAACTGATATGATTATATATAATCAGCTTGATATCAGCCGCTTTGGTCATTAAAACACTGCTATCACTCGAGCGCTGTTTGCTGGTGTTGTTGCACACACGTCTGGTTCAGTGAAGCTTGAGACCCACAGATGATGCAACAGACAGTAAACCCCTGCAGTGTAAAGGGATCATGATGACTGATGGGTGAATATTGTGTCTCCCGCAGTGACGAGCCGTGGGCTGGAGCTCAGTCGTGTGGATTGGTCCGGCTCTCGTTCTCCAAAAACAGTGAGAAGACGACAAGACGCCGGGCGTTTGAGCTCCAATCCTAACTCCACAGAGCGCAGCTGAGCTGACTGGAACATATCACAATACAGCCGGAACTCTGCTGTTCTTTATTTTTTTATCTCCGTTTATTGGTTCCTTTGTTTTCCACTTCAGATGGACTTTTCCCATTATTCGGTCCCTTTCTTCAGCAGCTGGCACTCGCCGTCTCGTGACAGACAACCTGCTTTCTGTGAATAATTGGTAAAGCAGCTGTGTAATTCAGTTGATTCTGTCTCCTCTGTGAATTGTGGGAATAGACAGCATGTTTTTTTGTTCATTTCTTTGTTTTTAATTGAAGACATACGCACCTCAGCAGAGCCACTGTCATGTTTTTAATAAGTTGAACGCTTGTGTTTTCTGTCGTGCAGTCAAACGATTAATCAGCCACAATAAAAGTTTTGTTTACATAATATATGTGTGTTCTGTGTATATTTATTATGTGCATATACATACACACACATACAGTATATATATTGAAAATATTTACATGTATATATTTATATTCATATAATTTATATTTAATATATGAACATAACATATTTTTCTGAAATGTATACATGCATGTGTGTGTATTTATACATAATAAATATACACAGAACACACATATATTATGCAAACAAAAACTTATTTTGGATGAGATTGTTTGACAGCACTAGTTTGCTGTTTTCACACGTCAATTGTTTTTCTTTTAATATTATATTCGTACTGGGGAAATAAGAACAACAGTTTTGCACATTTATATAAACTATATATACAGTATATATTGTTATTTTCTTTTAGAAATAGGTGTGGAAGTCTGAAAGCTGTTCCGTGTTTACTGGTGCAAGTCCATTTTTATTTCAGTTTGAGAATCAATAAATGTTTCCACCAAATGATCTACTTCTCAAAAGCTGTCGCCGTGCCACGAGTCGGGTCGTGGTTTCTCACGCTTGTATCGACGCGCTGGCGTTGCTCTTCGTTGATCAGGCTTTATATTTCAGCGAGGAGTCCACGGTTCGTGAAGCCTCTGATCTCAGCAGATGCTTTTATTGGCTGTTTGTCTGCTGCGTTACCCTGCTGTTCAGCTCATCTCCATTCTTCTGTGTTTTCCTCCAGTAACGTCAAAGTAATGTGGCAGAAGAAAGATCCTCCACCTGCTGGATGGAGTGCATGATGAAGGACGGCTTTATCTTCAGATGGAGGTCGGGTAACGGTGTGAATCGGCTCTGTGCCGGCGAGATTAATAACGTGTAATTAAATCAACATCTGCAGAGCTCTGCGCCGAGCTTCTGTTTATTCAGCAGTTATTGATGTTTTTATCAGAAAGCCTCCACCAGTCCTTCTCTGTTATACTACTGTAAACGTGTGCAAGAACGCGGTATTTCTACCGCAGTAAAGATAGTTTGCGGTTTGATATTCAGATTTCTTTTGGCTATAAATACACAGTGCGCTGTCATAGACATGAAAATAAAACCGAGTGTCGTTCTCCATGATTTGTGAATTCAGGTGACGCTGTCCTCCTGGCCGAAATCAGGGTTTTTATCGTTGCGACTCTCAATTTTATAATGCCTATAGCTCCAAAAGTTGGACACTTAGAGGATTGAAACCGGTGTCAATTTCACCAGCTCGATTTGTGAATTTTTTCACAGTTAAGCTCTTGTCCGTCAACCCCTTGGTAAGTCCGCTATAAGGAATGTGAAAAATAGGCGTTCTTTATGGTTAACGTCTATTACCAATAAACACGCAGACTGCTCGAATACAAAAACATTGTTTTAGGTCGAGCTCGATTTGTGAGTCACACTCACACTCCTTACTAGCGGACTTACCAAGAGGTTGACGGACAAGAGTTTAACTGTGAAAAAATTCACAGATCAAGCTGGTGAATATGCAGACTGCTCGAATACAAAAACATTGTTTTAGGTCGAGCTCGATTTGTGAGTCACACTCACACTCCTTACTAGCGGACTTACCAAGAGGTTGACGGACAAGAGTTTAACTGTGAAAAAATTCACAGATCAAGCTGGTGAATATGACACCGGTTTCAATCCTCTAAGTGTCCAACTTTTGGAGCTATAGGCATTATAAAATTGAGAGTCGCAACGAAACAAAAACTGTTTCGGCCAGGAGGACAGCGTCACCTGAATTCACAAATCATGGAGAACGACACTTGGTTTTATTTTCATGTCTATGACAGCGCACTGTGTATTTATAGCCAAAAGAAATCTGAATATCAAACCGCAAACTATCTTTACTGCGGTGGTATACCTAGCTAAAAACATTGAAGTCGCAGCAGAAGATTTCGGAGCTTCTTCACTCCAAGATCTCTCATCAGATAAAAACTGCTGCAGTATAATTACTAGCGATGTAACGATTAACCGCGAGCCGGCTGAAAATAGAGTCAAATATGTGAGGATTCAAATCGGTTGAGATGCTAAATATAGTTTCACAAAACTGAAGTCAAACCATTCTGTTTTTGCTTCAAATTTCGAAATTATACAATGTCATTTGTAATGTAATTTGGTTGCCTCTAATTTTAAATGGTAAGAGCACAGACAAAGCCTTATTTTGTTTATATGAAGAGATTTATTTTATTTGTGTTACTTATTTATTTGATTTGGGGCTTGTTTTAAAATTTTTATTTAGTTTTGTTATTTACATTTACATTATATTTAAATTTGGTCACTTAGCAGATGCTTTTATCCAAAGCGACTAACTAATGAGGACAATAGAAGCAATCAAAACCAACAAAAGAGCAGTAATATGCAAGTGCTATATTAGTATATTATTATAGTGTTATATTTCAATTTCACAAAGAAACGTGCAGCATTTTGTCCAAGCAATAATAAAAGGACACATTTAATATATAATGTGTCTTAAATCTCATTTTGTTAAAAAAAAAATCGTGAATCGAATCGAATCGTGAGTTGAGTGAATCGTTACATCCCTAATAATAACGATACACAGAGCTTTTTCACAGACTGATGGTTTGCGCAATCATTCACATTATATTGCAAAGGTTTTAATATTTGCGTTATTAAAATATTTTAATGTAGATTTCAGTGTTGTTTTAGTATTATTCATATGCTATTGTCATTTCTGTTAATATTTAAAGTTGGATTTTATTTTGATATTTTTTTAGTTTTTGTAAAAAAAAAAAATTAGTTTTTATGTCCATATAGTTTTTAATCTTTTGTTTTGTTTTAGTGTATTTAATTTTAGTACTTACACTTAATTGAAAATGGGAAATGTTGCCTTGGTAACTAGCTGACTTAAATTAGTATGTTTTTTTTATATGTTATTTCAGTTAACAATTTATTTCAAGTAGTGATTTTTTTTAATGGTTTTAGTTACTGATAATTGTGGTAACTTACATTACCTTGGCAATGAATTAGTTCAGAAACTTTCTACTACATCAATGGAGGGACTGATGGGAAATTTGCCAGCTTTCTCTATTCTGATCAATGTCATTCATTTCTCAATATTTCCTCTTTAGGAAAGTCAGGGTTAGCTGTCTTCTCTCGTTCACAACTGGAATTACATGAGATCATAGAGCAAAGAGAAAAGATGAGTCTGAATATGAATGAGTGAGGATCTAATGTCCAGAGGTTGGTTATTCACAGCAGGAGAGTCATGAACGTCCAAGCAGCATTTGAATGAGGAGTATCTGACTGTATTAGATGTTTGACCTCGTGATCAGATCTGAGCAGCTGTCACTGAGATGAAGCACGTTATCATGCTCAAACACACCGAGCTATAACTCGATGCAAGCGTGATGTTTACCACTGAATATTAACAGTGACGTGCTTCAGATTTCACATTAGCAGATGCTTTCTACTAAGCAAAAAAAGTATGGTGTTTACAAATAGAATATCAATATTTCCATGCGGCTCAAAATACACGTTCGATGGAAACATTGTGCATAATGATGGAGTTTGTAGCTTAATTCACTATATTTGAAATAGTCTGAGCTGCAGTTCAATAGAAATCAGCTGAAAGCATCCAGTCTCTCAAAGATGCAAACTCCTCACCTTTCAGTCACAACTCACTTTTTTGAGACAAACATAGGTCACCTATGAGTCTTACAAGGGTAAATAATTATTGTTTCAATAAGTTTTGTATAGTATTTTCCTTACTCTTTACTTCAAAAGCTATGTCTAAAAAGGGTAATATTTGATGTATTAGAGGTCTGAGATGTGGGAACGGTGAAGAGAGAGAGAGGACAAACATAATCAGACAATATTTTCTTAAATAGCCTGCATAGCACTTATGACTTATGATTTGTGTGTGTGTGTGTGTGTGTGAGAGAGAGTGTGTGCGTTTTTGTGACAAATGAGGACATAAATTTGTATAATGACAAAGGTATGACAGGTATTACAAGGAGAAGGTGACTTTTCAGGACATTACCCCATGTCCCCACTTTTCAAAACGCTTATAAATCACACAGAATGGAGTGTATTGAAAATCTGAAATAGCACAAAGTTTCCTGTGAGGGGTAGGTTTAGGGGTAGGGTTGGTGTAGGGCAATAGAATATACAGTCTGTACAGTATAAAAACCATTACGCCTATGGAGAGTCCCCACTTTTCACAAAAACAAACCAGTGTGTGTGTGTGTGTGTGTGTGTGTGTGTGTGTGTGTGTGTGAGTGAGTGTGTGGGAAAAATTACAGTTTTGGATATACAAATAAAATAAATTACTACAAATACCATGGTTAAACTATGGTTAGCCTAGCAAGACCATGGTTAATTTGTGGTTACCATGATTTAACTATAGTAGGTTTTTTTAGGTTTTTTGGTTTTATTTGTAATAAAACCATGGTTAATTTTCGTAAGGGAATGTAATAGTGAATGAGGGTATAGTGAGGAGTAAAAATAGTGAATGAGGGTCTTATCAGGATAGCGTCTTCATCAGGAATGACAGATCAGCGATCAAACTTCA